GTGCCACGCATTAAGATGTGGTTTACAATGCTCAGGCAACAATTGAGGGAGAAAAAAACACAGGCAGGGGGCGGGGAAAAAGAAGGGCACAATGTAAAAATTCGGGTCATTTCAAAGCTGGAAAACAACCCTAAAGGCATGTGGTCAGGGGAGAAGAGGGGGTCGGGTTCATTGGACAGAAAGAAGACTATAGCCTTGATTGAAGTGCCGCCTTCGCATTGTGTTTTTCTTTTTGTTTGTTTTTTGCCTGTGTTTTTTTTTAGCTCAATTGTTGCCTGAGCATTGTAAACCACATCTTAATGCGTGGCACACAGTTTGGCATTTCCTCGAGGCTGCAGACCGACTGATAGAGAAGTCAGCAGTGTGTAAGATTTCAGCAACCTGCTGATGTTGCTTCATGGAGCATTTACTGATGTGTACTGGATACGCCCTTTTTTTTTTTTTAAAGCAAAAGGTTTTAGTTAAAAAAACAAACAGAAAACCTTTTCAAATCAAACTTTACTCGATATTAGTTGCTTAAGATTTAAAGACACAAATGATGAAACCATATAACATGTTATGTCGTAAATCAAAAGACTTTCCATTGTACTCCTGTAAACTTGTTAAACTCCCGATGTTGAATTCTATGCACTTTTATTCCTTGTTACAAACATGGAGCCTTCATTACCCAGAATGCAACTTGAACACCGACAGTTCGGTCTATATGGTTCGGTTAGATCCGGTTGCGTTATGCTAGTAGCAGTTAATGCAGCCTAAAGCAGCGAGGTCTGGTAGACTCACTTCTGTCTAATTACAAACCTCCAGATTATTTTCGTTTTCAAATTTGTAGTCCTCTGCCCAAATCGACACTGACTCAAGTGACGTTACTTGAGGCATTTTTTTGATTTAAAAAACACGTGCATCATTTTAAGTGACAGAAGTGTTTCACAGGACTTCGTATTGTCCTACTCAGCTTTCTTTCGACCGCACTCCCTGTTTTCTTCTTCCTCAGCTTTGTTTTACTTCTGTCATGTTGTCCTCTTTCCCCCAGTCCTCCTCTCACACACTGGCTGCCTTCAGAGGCCCCTTTTCTCCGTGCAGAAGTGAAACAAACGGCTGATAAAACTGTCATGAGAAGACATGATAGTTTAATAGTTGTATGTCGTGGTGAAAGATTCGTTTTTTGGGTGCTCAGCACTCAAACTGTTGATATTATCGTGACTCGCAGCCGCTCATCACATTCAGTTTTGTACATTGAGTGACAAGCTCATGCTTTCACAACCGCAAACACGCACTCCCGCTCTTTCGTTATCTTCCCCTTGCTCTCTCTCTCTCTCTCTCTCTCTCTCTCTCCTCTGCACACTGATACAAATTTACCAAAATGTGGCCTGACCGCTAATGCCACAACTGACTTCCTGTTCTATGTGTTTCAGCCTGTTGCTCAGTGACACAAAACAAGTTTTTTAGAAAACATAACCTTCTTGAGGCTGACGCTGTGCTTGTGCCTCGATGTCCTAAAGTTTACAGCGGTTTTCTTCAGTTTGATAGTAAACACTTTTCACTTGCTGCAAAAGCGCGAGCATGAAGCCCTGCAAGGAGACCTTTTTAACATGGCTTCAAGTCAGCAGCTTTGCAGGTTGCATCATGCAGTCTTGCCCAAACCAAGAGCTGAGAGACTGATGTTTACGACATGGACGTCCATATCTTTAGAAATACCTTTTTAGATTAGACACTTCAACAGCTTATACTCTGTTATTTTTGGGGGGTTTTAACACAGCTTAGATAGTACAAGTTATGTTATGAATTGACATGGAGGGAGTTGGCACTGTTTTAAAGCCCAGAGCCTTTTCATTTTTAATGCCAGGGACTTTAGATCATACAATTAGCTCACACAAAAACAGGTTAAGTGAAATTGTTTTTTGCTGTTAGATGTATATAGAACAGCAGCTTGGGTGACCTATTTTTTTGCCTGGCTGCAGCCTAATTTGGGAACCACATCTATTGGGCTGCAGCTGATTATTTTCAGTACTGATGAACCTGCTGGTTCTTTTCTGGATTAATCATTTGCTCTGTAAAACATCAGAAAACTTCTGATCTTCTAAAGCCAGAGCTGACGTCATGAAATGTTTTATTTGATCTAACCAAAAGTAACAAAAGATCAGCAAAGAGATTCGGTTTTGACACGTAAAAGCAAGCTTTTGCTTTCAGAAGCTGGAACTATCTTTTCAACTGAAACAACTAATCTTCTATCAAAATAGTCTCAGATTCTGTCAATCGACAAATGGATCAATCAACTAATCGTTTCAGCTCTACTGGTAACATAAAACGTTGCTTTGATTTAAGGGGCCACATGCCAAAAAGGTTAGGAACTGCTGCCCTAAACTGCAACCAAGGATGTAGTTAACATCAACTTACTTGCATCCACCAATGATATGATTGATAGCCTATTTAAAGTCTGCTTTGGAAACATAAATGACTTAATTTATGTGTTAAATAAACTGATTTGGTAACATTATCCTCCCTCCTAGCCGAAGCAGCATTATGAGTAATCCTCATTTCATTCATGCTCTTTTTGTTCATCATCAAACAGTAGTGTGTTGCCCTGGACTGATGAAGATTTTATGTGACATCTCAGATAGATTTTAAACGTTGAAGACAGATACTCAACTGATCTGACTATTAAAACTATAGCATTACTATTAGTATTGATGATAATAACCTAATGATTTGTAGGTCTGTTATTTCTCACTCTCTTCTTCACTGTGTTTCTGTAAATTAAGACAGTTTTAAGCTGTTGCTCAGCTCCTGTTGACATTTGGATCTACCACAAATGGCTTCTAGATAGATACTTGAAGGATATTTTAATAAATATGTCAACTGTGTCGGTGTAAACTCCGACCAAGACTATAGGGGAGGATATTAAAATGGCCTGAAACCTCTGAACTCTCTCAAAACAAGGTGCAGCCTACACAACACCATGGCCAGAGATCAAGTTGTGCAAAAAAGCACAGCCCTCTGTGCTCGCCATGTCTGAGGCGAGTTGCAGAAAGCAGAAGTAAAAGTGAAGGCATTGCGCGAGCAGCTGCGCTTTTCTGCTGCACAAACAACGGTGCGGTTTCCACAGCTCGGAGCCTAGCAGCACGCGGGCCTCTGCAGGGCCCGGGCCTTCGTCACCTCCCAGCCTGTGTGAGCGAACAATGTAGAGTTAAAAAAACAACAATGCAACGCCTCAGTTTGTCCACTCCGTTTCTTGCTGGAGAGGCTTTGTTGCCCTTTCGACATTTTTTCTTTTCTTTTCTTCTTTAGTCCATGAGCGGAAATGAGTGCGGAAAGTCTGAGGTTTGAGACAGGAAGCCTGCTGACTTCAGATAACGACACCTGACAAGTGCTCCCGTTTGCAGCTATAAATTATACTTAAAATAACCTCAAACGCACGAACTGCTGCGACACAGTATCTGAAGAAATACGTTGTTTTTTTTATCAACGAATAATCCAGTATGTGTGCCACAATGTAAACACCCAAAACCTAAATAATAGAATACAACACACTTTTTAACGGGCTAAATGAACTATTTAGCTTGTCGTTTCAGGATGTCACCATTTTCCTGCACTGGCCCTTTAATTACCTCTTCAAGTCATAACGCGATTAAAAAATACGATTGAATAATGTAACTCAAACTTGAATTATGTAACAGTCAAAAATACCCAAATATCTCTTTAGAAATTAAACAAGACAGACATGAGTACAAGTATTAGTTCCTCGATCCACTGAGCCCCGTTTTATTCTAATACATCTTTATACTATTGCAGTTAGGATTAAGAAATTAATTTTGGTTGAAATAGCAAGTCATTCGTTGTAATATATTCATACATAATGACGGTATTAATGTTGCGTTGAAGTTAGGGGAGCTTATTCAGAGGGTTGTAAGAATATTTAATGCACAAATAGAAATAAAAGGCTACAGGCCAATGTTGAAAAGACGCACATTCGTTAAAAAAACATAACTTTGTGTATTTGTGATCTACATCCTCGAATACAAACGTTTGTCTTTTTCTCTCGTTGCGCAATAATCCGTTTTTATTGTTAACTTTATTAAAAAGTGCTTTTCGATTTGAAGTCCTGACCTGAAGGCCTTTATTTCTACATTTTAATAATAGAAACAATGACTGCGCGGTGGTCGTCCGGAGAAGATGAACAGTTGTATAGTTGTAACAGTGTGAAATGTGAAATACCAGTCATCTGATGGAAATGGATTCTGCTCCTTTCAAAAAGGGGCTCTAGCTGTATCCAAGTTGGTCCATGGCGCCTTCAGGGACACCTGCCTTGTGCGCACCAATAAAACCCAGCATCCCTCCATTAACTTCGTTAAAAGTTTGTCAAATCCTCCTAAAAGTTCTCTAATTTCACTCTTCGTGTGAATTATTTGTGTTGTTGCGCTGCGGTTCCGTGGATAGTGCGGGGTGCAGCTCCCATTAAACACGGCAATTAGAAGAAAAGAAGAAAAAAAAAGTCGAAACGCGTTTGGAAATCCTCTTTAACGCGTGTAACCGGTCACCAATTAGTGTTTATATGTGAGTGTAAAGATGTAGTGGTTAGTTGTGTTATTATAGAGCCGACATACAACCACGAACGGGAAGGAAGAGGAAATTTTGTACAAGAAGGAAAGAGTGGGGAACTCGCATCACCGCCTTGACTCTCTCACTCAGCAGACTCTGATGTGGGTGGCCGCCTGTCATTCTCACCAGCGTTAAAAACTCTTAAACACTTACCTTTATCGTACAGTCCATTGCAGCAGCCTCGCAGTCTTTGTCATTTAGTCGTTTTTGTAAATGTCGCAGCTAATTTAGCCTTCTAACCGCACTTCAATGCATGCAGGGGTGCATTGGCTCTATGGCGCAAACCATTGCAGTTGCAATTTTTTTTTGCTCACAGACCATAACCGGATGACACGTTTTCTCTCTCTCTCTCTCTCTCTCTCTCTCTCTCTCTCTCTCTCTCTCT